CCTGTGACCCTCTGAGGCACCCACCCTCCCTCTGTTCCAGTTCTCCCAGCAAGAGGAGAAAAGGCAGAAGTCGGAGCGGCTACAGCAGCAGCAAAAGCATGAGAACCAGATGCGGGACATGGTGGCACAGTGTGACAGCAACATGAGCGAGCTGCAGCAGCTACAGGTACAGGCCTCCCCGCCCCCCTTCTCGCATCGCCTCTGTTCCCGGGACCACAGACTCTACAGTAGGGAAGGACTCTCGTCAGACAAGCCCGGGCTAAAACGTTCAATCCTGCCATGTCATGCTGGCCAGATCCATCATCTTCCAAGCCATAGTTCCTGCATCCATAAAATGGGGATGGGGTAGGGGGTGAGAATTCCTGTTTGGTAGGACTGAGCTGAAAGTGCCGTGCCTGGGGCCTGGCAGTGGCCTCTGCTGGGCTTCTGGTTCATCACTGTGTCTTGGGACAAGGTGTCCAAGTTACTCCAATACCAAAACCGGACATTACAAGTAAGGAAGATGGCAAACAATGCCTCAACGAGATATTATTAGCAAATCGACTTCAACAATGTATAGAAAGAATTATACACCATGACCAAGTAGGCTTTATCCCAGGCTGGCTCAACATTCAAAAATCAGTGCAATCCGCAACATAACAGGCTAAAGAAAAATCACATGATCACAGCAACAGACGCAGAAAAAGCATTTGACAAAACCCAGCACTCATTCACAACAACACTCTCAGTAAAAACAGGAGTAGAGAGGAACTTCCCTAACTTGATAAAACCTGCAGCTGATATCATCCTTAACGGTGAGAAGCGCAAAGCTTTCCCACTGAGATCAGGGAAGGCTGTTTTGGTGTTGCCAGCCTCTTGGTGACCCCTTTCCCTCGGGAGATCCTGGCCTCTTCCAGTTTCCTGACTCCTGAGCTTGTCCCTGCCTGAAGGGCGCCACCCCAGGAGCCGGTACTTGGAGCCTCCTTGCAGTGGAGCAAGGCATTGTCATGCCCGAGGGATGGGCAGACTCAAACCCCTGTGACTTCAGGAAATTGCTCAGGCTTTTGCACCCATTTGGCAACTTCTGGAGACGCAAGGAGGGGTGGAGGAAACGTGACAGGCATTGAAGCCTGTCAAGTAGGGACTCTGTCATTTGTCACTGTAAATTTTAGCCAACTCCCTCAGCTTCTGCATCTGCTCACGGGGTGACTGGGAGGATTAACTGAGAGAACCCACAGAAAGTGCCAGGAGCCCAGCTTCTGGCAGGTCAAAGGTATTCCGTGCTGTAGTATTATTTCTAACTAAACTGATTTCTAAACTCTCGGGAGCCTTGAGTTGAAATCCAAAATGAAAATCCCCCCAAGGTGTCCCACTCTTCCAACCCCAAACGATTGAGGTATCTGGATGGAGACCCTTTCCTCTTGCTTTATAAACGCCTTATAAACCACAAGATGGATTCTCTGTGAGGATAAACAGGGACTGATCACTTCTGCCTTGCGAGAAATTCCAGGTAAATTTTGTGAGGCGGATGACTTACCTCAGAGAATAATAAAGTTGGGAGTGTCTCTGTCAGGTCCATGTCCTCATCTTTACACAAATCTCTCCTGAGGAAATGATACATAATACAGAAAATTACATATATAATTTATATAAATATTTATACATACAGATTATCTGAGCTCTGACTGCCATAACAAAATACCAGTCTGGCGGCTTAAACAACAGTTTCGTTTCTCATAATTTTGGAACGTGGAAATCTAAAATCAGGTTGTCATTGCGGTTGGATTCTGGCTTGCAGATGGCTGCCTTCTTGCTGTGTCCTCACATGGCACGGAGAAAGAGAAAGCAACCTTCCCAGTGTCTCTTGTAAGGACACTAATCCCATCATAAGGGCCCCACTCCCAGGACCTTATCTAAATTTAATTATCCCCGGGGCACCCGGGTGGCCCGGTTGGTTGAACGGCTGACTTCACCTCAGGTCATGATCTCACAGTTCATGAGTTCCAGCCCCGTGTGGGGCTCGCTGCTGTCAGTGCAGAGCCCTCTTCAGATCCTCTGTCCCCTTCCCCCTCTGCCCCATTCATGCTCTCAAAAATGAATAAACAGGGGCGCCTGGGTGGCGCAGTCGGTTAAGTGTCCGACTTCAGCCAGGTCACGATCTCGCGGTCCGTGAGTTCGAGCCCCGCATCGGGCTCTGGGCTGATGGCTCAGAGCCTGGAGCCTGTTTCCGATTCTGTGGCTCCCTCTCTCTCTGCCCCTCCCCCGTTCATGCTCTGTCTCTCTCTGTCCCAAAAATAAATAAACGTTGAAAAAAAAAATTAAAAAAAAAAAAAAAGAATAAACATTAAAAAAGAAATAAATGTAATTATCTCCTAAAGGTCCCACCTCCAGATACCACCACACTGGGGGTTAGGGCTTCAACATATGAACCTTGGGGGGACACGATTCAGTCCATAGCACAAATGGTTAATACAATGCTATTTAACATAGTGAAAATTAAAAGCAACCTAAGTGACCAAAAATGGAGGAATATTTAAGTAGATTTGATGAATCTGTGCTGTGGGATACTCTGTAGGCATTAAAATTTTCATTAAAAACAATGAAAAATGTTAATTTTTTAGAAGTTAATTAATGTTTACATTATAATGTTAAGGGTGGTGGGAAAGCAGGTTTCAGAATTGTATATAGAGGGTGAGCTAAACAACATTTAGGACAGAGGCTGCCAGAAAATCACATTTTTGCAGTGGCTGCCTCTAGTGGTGGGATTAGGACACATTTTTATTTATTATTAATAGTTTTACTGTTTTGTTAAAATGACATATATGTTCATGTTGAAAAATTCAAACAATGCAAAATAGCACAAAGAAGTAAAGTGCAAATTACTGCAGATCCCACTACACAATAAGAACTATTAACATGAATATTCTGAAATGTTCCTCCAGGCATCTCTTGGTATGTATTTATATGCATAGTTTCCTATAAATTACAATCAAAGGGAAGAAATAATAATAATGGTGCCGTCATTGGCTACAGCATGAGGTATGTTTCAGCCTTCTGCACCTCTGCCTTCTAAGTTTTCTTACCTGTTCTGCCTGGAATTTGTTCCAGAATGAAAAGTGTCACCTCCTGGTAGAACATGAAACCCAGAAGCTGAAGGCCCTAGATGAGAGCCATAATCAGAACCTGAAGGAATGGCGGGACAAGCTTCGGCCACGCAAAAAGGTAACCACGTCTGGGCTCGTGGGCTCAATAGTAGGCTTTTCTCCATGTTGAGCCACAGGCGTCTGCCTAGGATGTGAATATAGATAAGATACAGATTTACTTTAGGAAGTTGGTTCATATGATTGTGGAGGGCTAGTAAGTCTGAAATCTGCAGGGCAGGTTGTAGGCGGGAGATCCAGGAAAGAGTTGATGTTGCAGTTTTGAGGCCCACCCATGTTAGGGAGGGTAATCTGCTTTACTCAAAGTCTACTGAGTTAAATTTTAATCACATCTAAAAATTCCTTCACAGTGACATCTTGATGGGTGTTTGACCAAACAACTGGGTGCCATGTCTTGCCAGGTTGACACATAAAATTAACCATCACAGGGCCTCAGTGTGGTCATTTGTAAAGTGCAGATGTGAATATTGTACCGTGTGATGCAAAAAAGTCATCAGCCCGTAGTGCAGACCAAGGACATCCTCATTTCCTTCCACCCCTAAGCTCTCTGAGGAGAGAGCTGCCTTAATTACCCTTGATCACATGTTTTGAAGCCTTGAGGTTTGTTCTGCCATCATACATCAGCTCTGCTTGCTTTCACTGTGGTCTGGACAAGAGGCAGCTGCCCACCTCAGCTAAGTAATGGCCTTGGAAGTCCTTGAATTGAGGCTTCCCTAACCTGTGCTAATGGAGCTTTATGGCTGGCAGCTGGCCAGGGTCCTGGACCTTCCTGGCAGCAGGCCCATGTTCGTCATTTTCTGTAATCATGGCCTGTTGGGCCTTTTGATACTTGACACTCAAATCAATAATGCTCCTGCTGACATTGGTTGACTCTAGTATCAGGAAACAGACGTTCACCTGGTTCTCTGACCTGGTGGTTCTATACCCTTGGCACATCCTGAGAGAGTTTGAAGATGAATGGTCACGTTGCCTCTAGCAACTGCCTCCTATTTCAGGGGCACCTGGGTTTGGGGGGGAGGTACTGTGGTGTATGTCTGGGGAGCTGGCATTGGATTTTGCCTCTGGGGGCTGCTGTTTCGCAGAGTTCTTTGTAGAATTGTCATTAGCTACCTGGGTTACTGCTGGAACACTTAACCAGAGGTGATAGAAATGTTCTTTCACACTCGTGTTACAGTCAGCAATCTTGAGCTATACAGGGGAAGAGAGATGACTGTACACTGTGGAATATTTTTAGAAAACTTCAGACTTAATTCTTTCAAGTAAGTATAGAATATCTGGTAGCATCCATAAAGTGTTGCTTGGGTCACGGCTGACACAGAATGTGGCCTCAGACCAGTCCTCCCTTCGCAACCTTTGCTTTTTAGGACTGTAAAATGTAGATAGAACATTTCTTCCCTTAAAGCATGTGTTAGTAAACTACTGTCCATGGGCAAATCTGGCCTACCATCTGTATTTGTAAATAAAATTTTATTGGAACACAGCCATGCTTGTTCATTTACACATTGTCAGTGGCCGAGTTTGAAGTACAACGGCAGTTTGAGTGGTTGTGACGGAGACTTCACAGCCTGCAAAGCTGAAAATATTTATAATCTGGCCCTTTACAGAAAAAAGATTAGACTCCTGCCTTAGGTTATATACATGAATATATATGGTAGGTAGAAGAGAGTAGCGCTTAAGAGCACAGGTTTTGGATGAAGTCCTGGCTCCCCTATTACTAGCTATGAAACGCGGGGCAAGTTACTAAAGCTCTCTGTTCAAAAAGTGGTAGCCGTTATAATTAAATTGTTATTCTTTAGCAGAGGTCACAGACTGATTATCCATGGGCTGAAATTGGCGCACAGGCATTAGGTTCGGCCAACATATAGAAATTTCAAAATTTTTTGAAAGTTGCCAACCTTTAAGTACAGGCAGGCATACTTTGTTTTATGGCGCTTCACAGATAATTGCATTTTTTTTCTCCCTTCAAAATGAAAGTTTGTGGCAGCCCATGGTGAGTAAATCTACCGGTGTCCTTTTTCCAACAGCATTTGCTCACTCCATGTCTCTGTGTGTCTCTTTTGATAATTCTTGCAATATTTTAAACTTTTTCATTATTTTGTTATGGTAATCTGTGATCAGTGATCTTTGATGTTACTGTCATAATTGTTTTGTGACCACAAAAGATGGTGAACTGACATCAGGCACAGCAACATTTTCCTAGCTATGTCTTCTAAGGCAAGGGAAGCAAAAGCAAAAATAAACTATTGAGGCTACTCCAAACTCCACAAAGGTTTTTGCATAGCGAATGAAGGAAACCGTCAACAAGATGAAAAGGCAACCTACTGAATGGGAAAAAAATGTTTGCAAATGATGTATCCAATAGGGGGTTGATATCCAAAATACATAAAGAACTTAATACCAACCCCCCCCCCCATAATCTGATTAAAAATGGACAGTTTTCCAAAGACCTATATTTGACCAACCATACATGAAGAGATGCTCAACATCACCAATCCTCAGGGAGCTACAAATCAAAACCACAAACAGGTATTACCTTATACCTATCAGAAGGGCTAGGTATCAAAAAGAGCAGAAATTAACAAGTGTTGGCAGGGATGCAGAGGAAAAAGAACTTTTGTGCACTGTTGGTGGGAATGTAAATCGGTGCAGCCACTATGGGAAACAGTATGGAGGGTCCTTAAAAAATTAAAAACAGAGGGGCACCTGGGTGGCTCAGTCAGTTGAGCGTCTGACTTTGACTCAGGTCATGATCTCGCGGTTCGTGGGTTCCAGCCCCACGTCGGGCTCTGTGCTGACAGCTCGGAGCCTGGAGCCTGCTTCCGATCCTGTGTCTCCCTCTCTCTGCCCCTCCCCACTCATGCTCTGTTTCTCTCTCTGTCAAAAATAAATAAACTTTAAAATATATACATATTTTAAAAAATTAAAAATAGAAACACCATATGATCCAGTAATCCCACTACTGGATATTTGGAAAACAAAACAAAAACATTAATTTGAAAAGCTATATGCACTCCTGTTTACTGCAGCATTATATATAATGGCCAAGATAGGGAAGTAACCCAAGTGTCCATCACTAGATAGATGACTGCATATATAACACACACACAATGGAGTATTAGTCCTAAAAAAACAAGATTTTGCCATTTTGGACAACATGGATGGATCTAGAGGGTATTATGCTAAGTGAAATAAGCCAGACACAGAAAGACAAGTGCCATATGTTTCATTTATATGTGGAATCTAAACAAAGCAAAGTAAACAAAAAGCAGGAACAAAACCCATGAATACAGAGAACTGATAGGAGGGGATGGGATACAAATTACAGCGTTGGGAATATAGTCAACGGTAACAGCATTATACGGTGACAGATGGCAGCTACCCTTGTGAGCCCAGCCTAGTGTACAGAGTTGTCACATCACTATGTTGTATACCTCACACTAATGTAACGTTGTGTGTCAACTATACTTCAACAGAAACAATAAAAATGCATTTTATGGGGAAAAAAGATGGCGAACTGTTGTGTATTCTGACTATTTCACTGACTGACCATTCCTCCGGCTCTCTTCCTTTCTGCTCAGGCCTCATTCCATGAGACACGGTATTAGTGAAATTAATGAGGCCAGTGAATAACCCTACAGTGGCCTCGAAGTGGTCAAGTGAGAGGAAGGGTTGCATGTCTCTCGCTTTAAATCAAAAGCTAGACATGATCGAGCTTGGTGAGGAAGGCACGCTGAGACTTGAGATACTGTCCTTTCCCACCAAACAGCTACAGTCGAGTTGTGAATGCAAAGGAGAATTTTTTAATTAAAAGTACTACTTCAATGGATACACGGATGATAAGAAAGCTAAACAGCCTTACTGCTGAAAGGGAGAAAATTTTTATGATCTAGGTAGAAGATCAAACCAGCCACGAATTCCCTTAAGCTAAGCCTAATCCAGAGCAAGGCCCTAACCTGTCTTCGGTGCTATGAAGGCTGAGGTGAGAAAGCTGCAGAATAAAAGTCTGAAGCTAGTAGAGGTTGGTTCATGAGGCTTAACGAAAGACACCGTCTCCAGAACGTGAAAGTGCAAGGTGAAGCAGCTAGTGATGATGTAGAAGCTGCAGCACGTTATCCAGGAGATGCAGCGAAGGGAATTCGTGACGTTGGCTACACTAGACAACAGATTTTCAATATAGATGAAACAGCCTTATGTCAGGAGAAGACTTTAGAGCTGGAGAGGAACAGTCCATGCTGGGCTTCAGAGCTTCAAAGGACAGGCTGATTCTCTCTTGTCAGGGGCTAGTGCGGCTATTGACTTTAAGTGGAAGCCAGTGCTCATTTGCCATTCTGAAAATCATAGGGCCTTTTAGAATTCTGCTCTATCCTGCCTGTGTTGTATAAATGGAACGGCAAAGCCTCGATGATAGCACATCTGTTTACGGCATGGTTTACTGAGTATTTCAAACCTGCTGTTGATATCTTCTGCTCATTGGCAGTGTGCCTGGTCACCCAACAGCTCTGATGGAGATGTACAACAAGATTATTATTTTTTTAAAAAAGATGAATGTTGTTTTCATGCTTGGTAACACAATATCTATTCTGCAGCCCGTGGTCAAGGAGTAGCTTTGACTTTCCAGTGTCATTATTTAAGAACTACAATTTCGTGAGGCTATAGCTGCCATAGGTAGTGATTCCTCTCATGGATCTGGGCAAAGTAAGCTAAAAACCTTCTGGAAAGGATTCACCACTCTAGATGCCATTAAGTACATTCGTGATTCATGGAAGAGGTCAAAATATCAACATGAACAGGGCTTTGGAAGAGGTGGGTGACTTTGAGGGGTTCAGGACTTCAGTGGAGACAGTAACTGTGATGTGGTGGAAATGGCAAGAGAACTGGATTAGAAGTGGAGCCTGAAGATGTGGTGGACTTGCTATCGTCTCAGGGTGAAACTCGAACAGAGGACGAACTGCTGATGATGGATGAGCAAAGAAAACGGTTTCTGGCGGTGACACCTACTCCTGGTGAAGACTGTTGAAATGCCAACAAAGGATTTAGAATATCTCATGAAGTTAGTTGATAAGGCAGAGGCAGGGTTTGAGAGGACTGACTCAAGTTTTGGAAGAAGTTCTACTGTGGGTAAAATGCTGTCAAACAGCATCACAGGCTACAGAGAAATTGTGAAAGGAGGGGTCCATCAATGTGGCAAACTTCATCATTGTCTTATTTTAAGGAATTGTATGTGAACTATACCTCAGTAGTAAAAATTAAGAAATAACTACGTTTACCCTGGTGAGCATAGCGTAATGTACAAAACTGTCGTCACTATGTTGCACACCCAAAACATAACATTATATGTCAATAATAAAAAAATTGCCACAGCCACACGTCAGCAGTCACCTCGTTCAATCAGCAGCCATCGACACTGAGGCAAGACACTCCACAAGCAAAAACGTCATGAACTGCTGAAAGCTCAGATGACGTTTAGCACTAAAGCAATAAAGTATGTGCTCATTATGGTACATACATTTTTTTTAGACACGGCTGTTGCACACTTAGACCACAGTGTACTATAAACATAACTTTTTATAAACAACTTTCATACGCATTAGGAAATCAGAAAATTCATTTGTGTATCATGATACTCACTTTATTGCAGTAGTCTGGTACCAAACCCACAGTATCTCCGAGGGAATGCCTGTGTAAGGGAATTTTTCATAAGAATCTGGCTTTCCAGTTTCTTTTGTGAATCCAGGAGCTCTGGCCACACTGGGCTCATTGTACCACGTGACAGACATCTGCTGGAGCTGAAAAGAAACCGCCGTCTTCAGACACAGTGTGTGCTCTTCACCTCACCGCAGTCCTCCTCACTCCCTATTGCCTCACACCCAGCTCTCTTTCTTCATTCAGTTCATCTGGCTGGCTCCCATAGGCACTGGATTTCGTTAGTTGTTACAAGAGCTTACACAGTACCACTTATATCTTGCTTATATATAATGTTTGCTTACCACAAACACTTTTAACACTAACATATCCGGGGGCACCTGGGTGGCTCAGTCAGTTAAACGTCCAACTTCATCTCGGGCCATGATCTCATGGCTCGTGAGTCTGAGCCCCATATTGGGCTCTCTGCTGTCAGCACAGAGCCTGCTTCAGATCCTCTGTCCCCACCTCTCTCTCCACCCCCCCTCCCCTGCTGCTTCTCTCCCTCTCTCTCTCAAAATAAAAATTAAAAACTTAAAAAACGTATTTATTTTTTTTAAGATTAAAAAAATGTTTAACGTTTATTCATATTTTAAGAGACAGAGCAGAGCATAGTGGGGGAGGGGCAGAGAGAGAGGGAGACACAGAATCTGAAACAGGCTCCAGGCTCTGAGCTGTCAGCACAGAGCCTGACGCGGGGCTTAAACTCACAGACCGTGAGCTCATGACCTGAGCTGAAGTCGGATGCTCAAACCACTGAGCCACCCAGGCGCTCCTAAAAAACATAATTAAAAAAATGCTAATACATCTGGCAAAGGAGAACTTCAACCAAGACACTAGACACTTGCTCTGAGTTACCAAATGGGCTTTTACAACACAGAGAACCCGTCGTACTGCAGGTTTTCAGAATCACAGTGTCAGGGGATGGTGGGAAGGCACATGAGTTTTGAAGACAACTCCCTAGGTGATTTCTGTGGGGCAGTATCCTCATTAGGAACACAATGTACTTGGACATTCTGGCCCTGTCCTCCCACCTCCCCCCAATCACCCACTGTTAAATCTGTCCATTTTCTACCTTGGGTCTTTCTCCATTCGATTGTTTTCCTGCCAGGAGACTGGCATCTACCGCCCCCCCCCCCCC